TCAACCTTTCAAAAACTGAGCTCTTGATATTTCCTCCCCCCCTCTCTGTCACTCCCTCCACTGGCTTACATCCCCTGCCTCCCTCTGCCGATCCCTCCACTGGCTTCCACTCGCCCAGAGGATAAAATTCAAAATATTAACAGTCACTTACAAAGCCATCCACAACTCCGCCCCCGGATATATCTCCAACCTGGTCTCAAAGTATCACCCTAACCGTCCCCTCCGCTCTTCACAAGACCTCCTGCTTTCCAGCTCCCTTGTCAACTCCTCCCATACTCGCCTCCAGGACTTCTCTAGAGTCTCTCCCATCCTTTGGAACTCCTTAAGCCAACCTGTCCGTCTATCTTCTACTCTGACTGCCTTTAGGCGATCCCTTAAGACTCATCTCTTCAGGGAAGCCGATCCCACCTCAACCTAACCTCTCAACCATCACATTCTCATACCATTCATCCCCCACACATCTACCTTCTCATGTATCACTGGCTCCTCCCCTTTTAGATTGTAAGCCCTCAGGGGCAGGGCCCTCCTTACCATCCTGTCTTGAATTGTATTGTAACTGTAATTTCTTCCTTATATTGTACAGCGCCGCACACACTGTTGGCGCCATATAAATACTATATAATAATAATAATCAATAAAACATAAATATTCTTCTGTATTATATGAAGGGATTATCTTGGCGGTGAGGAATACGATGGTTTTCATGCCGCCATGACCAGGACTCTATGGAGGTGACTCCCTGTAATTGTTTTGCCTTCGGCTACGAGACGATTGACGTCTAAAGAGATGAGAAGCTTTGAGAAACCGGTCCCCCAACTTGTTCCTAATTCCTGACATCAGACGGACCGGGAGTAATGAGGAGAACATTACGCAATGTGTCATGTGAAGGACGTAACAGGCCATTTCATTCATGACGAAGCTTCATTACAGAGGTCAGCGCCCCGTATCCTCACATGTTGTATGTGGGGCCCGAAATGCGCGGGCGCGGCTTTTATTGTGGAGGGAAGTGGTACTGGCCGGCAGTTGCAGCGCATGTGAAGGGAAAACGAATGTTTAATTGTCTGATGGGATCATTCTGAATAGATTGGGCAAAGGCTGGACCTGTAACGGTCAACTTACTAGATACAGGGGGCCTCAAGCGAAGAAGGACTTCGCCTCAGCCGATCCAACTCGCTCACCGATCAAGCGCAGAAGGACTTCGCCTCAGCCGATCCAACTCGCTCACCGATCAAGCGCAGAAGGACTTCGCCTCAGCCGATCCAACACTGAATAACCCCCTAAATGTCAACGAAACCTCTGTGAATGAGGAAGACTGGGAAGGTCCCCAAAAGTGCTGCAGCTGGATGTGCAGCAAGGAATGCCAGCACCCCATTGGGTAAGACGAAATACATAGAAGAGCGCAACTACCTAAGAAATTAATTGGATACTGAGGATCCTGCTGTGGGTGGCTAATCCGTTGCATTAAAATGAAGAATAATAAAAATAAAAACCCGTACCCGTGTTATATTCCACATTTTAGGCCTAAAAATTACTTCAACCCCCCCCCCCCAGACATGATATATTTTCTGAAAGCCCAGACCCTGTGGAATAAAATGGCGGCAGTTGCAAATTTTGTATGTTGCACGATATTAGCGCAACTCCTTATCAAACTCCAAAATTTAGTGAAAATGTACTTTAATGCCCCAAAACACAATAAAATACCCATTTTTGTAATTAAATATAAAAGACGAGGTGACAACGAGTACAACGATACCCAACATGCCCGGGTTAAAAATTGTGTGCGTCCGTGAAACGGCAACAAACTTCAGTCCCCCCAAAAGTCAATAGACAACG